TGCGCGAAATTTTGTTGTTTTGTGTTCATAGGATAATAAAAGTTCTGTGTTTTAGGTTATTATAATGCCCTCAAAGGCAGAACAGAAACCTAGCCTTTCGTGATGTGAAAAGCAACGGTCTATTAGAGGCCGGAAAGAGTTGGAACCGGTGGGGAACATGGTTCAAGATCGACTATAGAGGATGATGAATAGACTTCTGTAGTTTGTTTGGTGTGAGTTGCAGCATTATTTGTATGATGATGATGATGATGATGATGATGGTCCCACCTCTTACCCCTACAAAGGTTTGAGCTGGACGATTTATCTTTAAGATAATTAAATATGACATTTTAACCAGGTTGGCAAACAAAATCGAACTGGTTTCAGTTACAGATATAAATTCCCTCTAGAGTTTACAGTTGCTTCACAGCGATATAAATGTTGAAAAGCTCAGGTGTCCACCTCTTAGTTCACCTTTTTGTCAACCTAAAATATTCATAAGTATTACAAGCAATCAAGAGTTAATGAACAATCAACAAAGCATCCTATTACACTAGTAACCCCGCAATCTGATGCTATCATAATTTTCAGCAATGTCAGGAATGCTCACGAACCCCCAACATTTGCCAGAAAACTTACTACTAACTCAAGGTATCTTCCAAATAAGCTTCAAAATTGCATTTTTTTTTTTATCAAATGTTAAATTCAGTCCTCTATATCCGTAATACGCGCGCGAGGCTCAAACCTTTGTAGACTACTATTTTTTTTACTACTACTATTAAATCATATATCAAAAATCCATCATCACCATCGTGGCGAACAAAATAGTTTTTGCAGTGCTACAATAATTATTAAAAAGTCGTTATAACAGCTATCCATACAAAGTAATCCGTTAAAAATAACTTCGTCAAGATACATAATTTGTCAATTCATAAAAAAAAATCACTGGATAACCGTTCAAAAGACAGTTTTAACGTGTGAAATGCAATGTCTCTTAAATTCTGCTAATGTTGTTGAACGTTTAATGTGTCTAGGCATCGAATTGAAAACATTTATTCCTTTAAAAAATAATGAATTCTGTGAAGCACAAGTCAAGAAATGTGGTGTTCTTATTTCATCCGCGTTTCTAGTATTATATCTATGAAAGTCACTTCCTCTTTCAATTCGATCACACAAATATCGAGGCAGCAAACCGTTAACTACTTTAAAAATGAACACCATAGTCAAATATACAATTCTTTGCTTCACCGACAACCATTGTAAGGCGTCTAGCATCAAAGTTGAGGAAGTGAATCTATTACATCTCAAAATCAAACGCATTATTTTATTCTGCAAGCGCTGTAATCTCGATATTTGTGTTGCATTAGACAGAAATAAAATGGATGGGCAAAAGTCTAGATGAGGAGAGATGATTGATTTGTATAGCTGTATTTTACTGGCAATAGTTAAATCGTTTTTCAATCGACATAGAATTCCATACTTCTTGGCAATTTTCTTGATGACATTGTCAATGTGAGAGTTGAACTTAAGTTTGTCATCAATAATCACGCCAAGATATTTAATCTCCTGAACGCGATCAATAGTCTCATCATCAATTACAACAAAGACGTTCTCATTTAATCGATTCCGCGAAATTACCATAAATTTAGTTTTACTTGTATTCAATTTTAACTGCTTACACTTCAACCATCTACTTAGATACTGCAAATCTTCATTCAAGTGTGAGACGGCAACTTCTAAATCCTTAGCTGCAATGAATAACACAGTATCATCTGCAAAAAGGTTAATGTCGCAAAACCGTAAAACACGTCGCAAGTCATTAATATACATAATAAATAAAAGGGGCCCTAATACACTTCCCTGGGGCACTCCAAGGTTGTTCTCCACGGGACTGGAAACAGAATCATTAAAAACAGTCCGTTGAGTTCTGCCAGACAAATAGCTTTCAAACCATTTATATGCAGTACTCGTAATTCCAAAGCGCTTGATTGTACTTAACAGTAAGGCATTGATCGGAGATGAACCAGCCTGCGGCTGAAAATCTCCTAAATAGAGATAATAATAATTATTATTTGAATTAAAGGTATTAATGAGGTCTAATTAACTGCCTCTGTCTCTTGAGCCCACTCTAGAACCTACATTTCGTATTTAGATCTATATTTTAACTGCTGGTCTGAGTTCCTCTGGTATATTTAATTAGAGGATATTACTGAAAATACAGTTAAACAGCACATAAAGTTGTGAACAACTTCAATGACAGTTGTCTAGCAGTGCTCCCATTTTATTTAAAATGATCCAATGCCTACGAAATTGTGCCGAAGATGTGCCAATGGATGTGCCCAAGCTGTGCCGAATCTAGTTTCGGCACAATGTGCTGAGTGACTTACCCCTTTGTCCAAAACTCTAAAATCCATCCCTAAATCCCTAATTTTTCACGATCGAGATTTTTAGACCTAGACGAATTCAAATTTTGTTTTATGTCCGTGATCTTTCCATCTGGGATAATTTTCTTCGTTCCACAGTAATGAGAGGTTTTTGAAAACTGCGATCTAGAAAAGTTGTCTATGTCCCACAGTTATGAATTTGTTTCCTTGTGTTACAGAAGATTCTTTTCTTGGAATGAATGGAGACGACCAGTGCGTTATAGCGGCTATAGATAGAAGAACGGTTTTTCTAATTAAAATACTAATCGCTTATCGCATCGCTTCATAAATATCCTAGATATTTAAAATTGACTGTCTTTATAAAATTGTCAAAATTTGTCTAAATCTTTGAATTTGAATATTTTTCTCTGTACCTCAATTTTGCGATCTAATCATCAATGTGTGCTTTCGATGCTTATATCAACTTAGTAAATAGTTTGTTTAAAAGAAAGCTTATTCAATTCATATTTATTTTTTGATGATAATGGGATCCATAAACCGTTTGTTTTATTTTTTAGAAACATGAAAAATGCGGGTTTGTGAGTTTATAAAATTTCTCGAAGTGGCAATCGACATCAATGGAAGATTGAAACCATATCTTTCTTACCAATAAATGTCACTATTGGTCACTTTTTTATTGTTTAAAAGTCACTATTTGGTCACTATTTTCGTTATTTTAGTCACTAAAGTCACTACTATTAAATCACATACTCACTACCAGCCCTGCCACTGCCGGAATTCCATCTGGACCAGGAGAGAGTGAGGTTTTGAGTCTCCTTGCTAATGAAAGTACCATATCCCGAGTTACTTCGAATGTGCTCAGTTCCACTTAGTCACTAGGCGTATCAGAGGCAGCAGATTCAGCTTCAACGTCACTTGTCACATTTTTATCGAAGACAGATGCAAAGTGTTTAGCAAACATCTCACACGCTTCGCTAAGAGAAGTGGTCTCTTTCCCATCGAGTAGTATGTTGGACGGTATACTCGAATCTTTCCTTTTGCTGTTGATAAAGCTCCAAAAATGTCGGGGGTTACGCCGCAAATTCCACTGGACTCTGAGGACGTGTGATTTGTACAAGACACTGTTATGTTTAATATAAGCGATACTGGCACGCTTGAAGTCACGCTTCGTGTCAGCTGTTCTGTGACGACGTAGTTTTCTCTGGACTGCATTACGCTCACGCTACAGCACTCTAAGCTGAGGAGTACTCCAAGCTGGAGAAATTGGTCGTCTTTTGAGAGGAACATTTGATTCCAACCAATGCTGAATAATGCTACAGAAACGCACAGTCATCTCGTCAACATCAATGCATTCAAACACATCTACCCAGTCTTGATCAAAAAGATACTGCAGTAATGAGACATAATCAATTTTCTTGAAGTCTAGAAGCCCTACTCTATCATCCACGTTGCAAGCTGGGTGAGATGGCCTGTTAAGTAGAGCAGGTAGCAACAGAATTAAGGATGGATGGTGAGCATCAATAGGTAAAAGAGCGATATGATGTTTGTAATGTCGATTTTTAGTTCTTTTAGTTGCGGGAGGGCTAGTGTGACCGTGGACTGTCAATAAGGACATTACCGGCCAAGTTTTGTAAAATCATGAAGTTTGATATGTCGCACGGCGAGTTTTGGTACTTTTGCGGGATACCTAATGTGATCATGGACCGGTATAGCCGCTGTTGGTCCAATTACATCAGTTGAGTGAGAAATATTATGTTCACTGTATGTATATGCCGAATGCCGTGCTAGAGTGACCCCAACGGAAATCGGGATAAATCCGGAACCATGTATTGATCCAAATTTTTCATGTCGAGTTCGAAAACTTGAATAGATTCCCGACAAAATGTAACTTGTTGTGTCGAAAAAGATTGAGATATGATGAATTTTGAGATCTATGGAAATTTAGACGTTAGACACGCAAAGGTTAACAAGGTATCCTTGAGTTTGAAGTTGTCAGGACTAGGGTTTGGTGGTAGATTTTATACCAGTAACACTGAGCGATGTCGAATTATTAGGAAATTTCAACTTTTACAAGCATGTTTTATCTCTTGTTAAATATTGATAGATAGCTGTTCAACCATTTTTAAACTTTCATTATATCCCAAACACGAAGAACAATCGTTTGTAGGCTTTCTTTATCATCTTATTTGCGATCGATTAACATTTTACTCCTTTCCGCCAAGAGACCCGTCTATTCCCGCAAGCAGTTCTTTAAGTTGTGTGTATGTTTAATTTCTCAAGGAGATCTTAACTTTTTCTTTCCTTTTCCCCTTACACAACCAATTTCCGGAACATCCATTGTATCGGGATCGCTTTCAAAGCTACACACAAGAGTCAAACGGTAGAAACCCACGAGGACGTTCATTCCTCCTCTTTTAGAGCCACAAACCATTAAAATCCCATTCGATTTAATGACTGGCAGCAGCCTATCAGTTACAATCGGCACCCTCTTCTTCAGCAAAGTGATACTGAATTCAATGGGAAAAGCAATCTCTTCCTTCCTATCGCTACCTATACTTTTACGTGTTTATTTGTTTTGCCCAGCTTTCCCACTTCTAAGCAGCATCTTCTCGATCTTCATCGATTTATCTCCCGCAGGCCATGGAAAAAATGTACGAGGTCGGTCTCACACGGAACATAGGCCTATCGAATTTCAACCAACGGCAGATACAAAGGATTCTCGATAATTGCCAAATCAAACCGGCTAATCTGCAGGTAAGGTGATCCGTGTTCTGCACCCAAGGCACAATGTGTTACTTTCACTCCCATCATATTATTGTGATCCTCCCGCAGATCGAGAACCACATCTATCTGCAGCAACCGGAACTGGTGAAATTCTGCAAAGCCAACGGTATAACGGTTACCGCGTACTCACCACTCGGTTCCAAGGGCATCGAAAAGCTACTCAAGTGAGTATCGATTTACGGTTTATTCGTTTTTAAGCCAATTGTATGAATCCGCTATTTTGCTCATTCGCCAGCCGGGAGGTACCGGACCTGCTGGACAATCCGGTGGTGAAGGAAATCGCCGATAAGTTGGGCAAAACTCCCGCCCAGGTACTGCTACGCCACGTGCTGCAGCGTGGGATTTCAACGATCCCGAAAAGCACGAACCCGAAACGTTTGCGGGACAACATCGATTTGTTCGATTTCGAAATCGACGATTCCGACGTGGTGCGCCTGAACCAGCTGGATCAGAATATTCGCATTTGCGATTTTGCATTTTTCCCGGGGTAAGTACAACCAACTTAGTTGTTCGTGTAATGATTTTAAGAACAAATGTGTTTGCAGCATCACCAAGCACCCGGAGTTCCCTTTCTAAAGCGAGGAGGTACATTTTGACAGAGTATACATGAAGTTTCTCATTACTTTCCATGAAGAAAACGAACGCAAACATTCACTAATAATCGTTAGTTACTAGTATTGATCATAGCAAGTCTATCGTTTGGCTACAATTTGATTTTAAAAATAAAAGCATTAGTATTAATAAGTATAACAATACAGTTTGAGACTTGAGTTTCAGATTCTCAATTTCTTTTGAAAAAAAATAGTTTTGATGATATATCACATTCATTATTTCAGTTTCCCTCAGTTGCAGTTTCAAGCTGAATTCGTTAGTTTGTTAGTTGGTTTCCACGTGTTTTGGAATAAAATATAAAGCGAAATGTAAAGACCACCGCTTGATCAGTATGGAAAATACGTGCCATACAACTGCGCAGGTACGAAGAACTGAACGGAATTGGTGATCCAATAATTGAGCAGGTTTTTCATCCGTATTATTCGTTTTTGATTGATTCGTTAAAACCTAAAAAAGAATGCCCTACCTTCAATCAGAGCTAAAGTAGTTTCTTGAAAGCTTTGAGTCACTAGGTTCTAGAAAATAAAAAGTATTTTTATGTTAGTACGGGACGAAACTTGTTGAATATCATTGGCGCAAATCGATTGATTTAAAAATCAAAAAAGGAGTAAGTTGTTGAGTTCTTGACTAAAGTGTAGAAGTAGTTTCATGTTGTGGACAATGATGCTCATGCTCATGCTCAAGATCCAAAATTTGTATACATCACATCGACATTTTCAAGGATTTTCTCTTGGTTCACTTCAAAGACTTCTTCTTGCATTTCAAGCTTATTGCTTATCGCATATTAGCTTATTGCATGCTCTCACAACTTAGTGTTCTAGATGCACTTCCACAGTTATTATTTGAGAGCTCTAGATGCCTGCACCATTTTTAAATTAGTATAATTCTAGATAGAGCTGGAATTAGGGCGAAATAGCTTTTGTAAACAATGACTTCTCTCGATGATTTGTTGGAATTCATGGCACGTCCACGCAAATCAACATAACCAGGTAGGGGAAATCTTCCCCTATGCGATGATGATGTTGATTTGCGTGGGCGAGCCTTAACTTTCTAGAAATCACCTAGAGAATTCATTGTTTGCAAAAACTGGTACGCCCTAATTCTAGCTCTATCTAGAATTGTGTGGCAAGTACAATCATACTCTATGCCCAAGGAAGACAATAAATTTTCCAACCCGAAAAATTCCTAAACCGGACCGGGAATCGAACCCAGCCACCTCCAGCGTGGCCTTGCTTTGTAGCTGCGTCTTTACCGGCTGAGCTAAGGGAGATCCCTCCACTTCAAAGCCTTGTTAAGACAAATTACAAAAACTTAGACCACTGGCAGAGTGAAAGCTGGTGACCGAGCGGACAAAAGATTTTATTAATAATTGTTATTCCTTTTGCTGGCCAGCTCGGTCACCAGCTTTCACTCTGCAAGCACCTAATATAAGATGAAATTTTACGAAACTTTTGAGTTTGGACTATGAAAACAAAACATTGTGCAATTTTAACGTACGGAAATTAGTTTTGCGGTCTGTTTCTGATTGTTATTCCCGGAAATCAAAAATTTCGTTTCGTTTCGTTTAGACAAACATTGGTTAGAGCTAAATTTAATAACAATTACAATGACGCCATTTTGAAAAAAATTCAACATGCAAAATGGCCGAATTTTTGTAAAAATTTGATTGATTGCCCATAAGACACAACTATGCAAAGTTTTATGCAAATCGAAGAAGGTCGAGTTTGTCAGATTTGTCATTCATTACAAAATATGTTAAGGTAATGCAAAAAATAGGGTCTTAAGAACAAGCTGACAAACGTCCTCGTTTTGAGAGTTTAAATAGACTTTAAGCGAAGACATCATATCAAGAAGACTGCGTTCGTATGAGAAAGTGGAAGAGTTGCCAGTCTTCTTGATTTTTTGTCTTCACTTTAAGCCAATATTTCGTTCTGTTTCGCTTATTTTGGGTTTTCATATCGCAACACCTTAGTAAAAACCCAAGAACCGCCATGCAATCATAGACAAATTTCATCCCAAAGCAACCTCTCAGATTCCAATGAAACTTTGTGGATGTAACGATTTTGTCTACTAAACTCTGCATACTTCTTTTCCTTGAAAAAATAAATCTACACTATTAAATGGCAGGACTACACTTAAAAAAATTACAGTAAATTATATTGCCTGTGGCTGGAAAAAAGTTTAATCTACGAGTTATATACTGATCAATAACTCGTATATAAAAAGATGGATTCTTCAGTGGTGTTGAGTACTTGGCAGTAGTAGACGAAATACGCATATCTGTCCAAAGATAAGCAATTATAACGGAATTAAAAGGAAATAAACCAACACACTCAAAGCTCTTCATAAAGGGATTCCGTTAAGAGGTTCGACAAATTTAAAAGATTCAAAAGTTCTTATTCAACGATTCTTGTCAATTTTCAAGTGTCCATGGTTTTCAATATTCCAAATTTTTCATGAGTTTTTTTTTTTAAATTGAACCAAAACATTTTGAAATATTTGAATATTTAACACTTTATTGGATTTCTTACCCCAAATTAAAAAAAAATACTGTATGTATTTTCCCCAGAATCCTTTTATTTTTCTCTACAACTTTGTCTCACGTCATTTCGATCGGAAGTGACGATTTCGTGCTACAGTTTATTGAAAATGTCAAGGATTCCATTTAAAAAAAATACATGATCCAAAATGCCCGAGTTTTAGCAAAAATGTGAATGATAGCCCATAACAAACAATTCAAGCTGAACATTGCATTAGGTTCTAAGTAACATTGACAGATTCGCTTCGTCGACTTCGTATCCCCACGGCCATGTAAAGACATTCCCAGGTATTTTCAGCACAGAAATCGATAAAAGAAGCTTTTATCTAGCATCTTATACGACAAATTTACAAGTTATTAACGAAAAATAAAGTCGACGAAGAGAATCGGAGAAAATATACTACACAGATAAAAATTCTGAATTTTAATTGTGATGTAAACATTCATTCACGTAAACTTGTATTTCATTTCATGCAACAGAGCAACTTGTAAACAATGTTGTTTACAAAGATGGGCTTTTGTATACAATATTTGCTACATTGCATGAAATGTGTCAGAACTTTACATGATATATAATGTAAACGTATATGATATGTGACGCTCCATTTATGTGCATCATATTGAACAGAAATTTACACTACTTTTTCGAACTGTGTACCCAAAATTTGAGTTTTTTTTTTACATAATTTTGAGTTGAGCCTCTCACTTGCACCCGTTATTGTTGTCAAAAAAGGAACGAAAGATTCGACCCAATGATATAGTTCAGCCCAATAAGTTACTTTAGAGTAAATTGCATATTCTTAAATTTACGTAAATTAAACTTAATTTTGGGTAGAATATACTTAAGAGTAAGTTTTTTTTGATGATGTTAAATGGAAACTTCTATATGCGATTTACTTAAATTTAGGTTATTGGGCTGAACCCGGGAATTGAGGGAAAAGTACTTAATTTTTGGGTACTTTTTATCTCCGTGTAAGACCTAATGCTATGTTCAGCTTGAATTATGCACAATGCGGCCTTCACTGAGTTTTATCGATTCGTCATTTGGCGTAGAACTGCTCAAAGCCGATATTCTGCGAGATCCAGAGATAATAAAATATAATACTAGAGTACTAGAGCACTCAAATTTGGTTAATTGATGCTCTGAAACACAATGTATCTACATGCCAAAATTGAGCTCTCAAGGACTTTGTTTACCCCCTGACGATAGTAGAATAAGGTATTGCCGAAGCCGTCATTTGCCCTACTGAAAAGCAAATCAAAATTTTTCTCAAAAATGTAATTTTTAAAGTACTGTTCTTTTCATAGAATGGCAGCTTTTATAGGAAAAAAGTTCTTCTAACAACAACTTTTTCATCCTGATGAATATGGGCGTCTTAGTGAAATACCTTATAAAGAAAGAGAGACGGATTAGTACTTTCTATTTCATTCCACTACCTTAATTGCTTATCCTTGACAGATACGCGTGTTTCGTCTACAATGTGCAGACTTCTTCAGTGTCTTGTACAAATACGCGATTATTAGACACTGACAAAGCCTGCACATTGTAGACGAAATACACGTATTTGTCAAGGATAAGCAATTGAGGTCGTGGAATTAAATTGAAATTACTAATCCTTCTCTCTTTCTTTAAACTTTTTCATGTCTGAATTAAATCTTAGCAGATGAATTTCATTCAGCGTCCTTTAAATTTTGAACAAAACATTGCTGGTGCGAAAACTTTGGTTAGTTAAACAAATTAAGTTAAGTGCGCCATGATTTTTGTCAGTTTGATTATGACAAAGCTGTAGTTAGAATTGTTTTTTAAATGAAAGAGTGCCATCATCATCATGGGTGGATCATCATGATCATTTTTCAGAACAAAGTTTTTTTGGTTCCATTTGGGGTCCCTAACAACTGTGCAAAATTTGAGGACGATTGGTTGTAACCAGAAAGCCTGTTTGAAATTTGTATGGAAATTAGTATGGGAAAACCTACTTTTTTGCATTTTCATTCCTAGGAGGGTGGCCAGATTATTTTTTTCATTATCGGTAGCTTCTCAAAACTTTTATCGATAGTTATCGGTAGGCCGTCTTAAGAAGGCTTCCCGAAACTTAAAACCTTTGTGAGTGGGGGAAGGTTGAAAACAAATCACGTGCAATTTTGGACTTTCGAACCGATCAGTGCTTCAACCTCATACATTGGATAGTCTAATCTAGAGTCGGTGTATAAAAAGTTACGCCAAGATTGAAGCCAAGTCTACCTATTGAACAGTCAAACCAGCAACCTATCGTGCAAAGTAAACAAATAATATGATGCTATGAAAGGTCCACGAAACGAATACGCCTTTTTAATAGAAACTAAGCGATCGATTCAACCTCTGGTGGTGAAACGGAGAACGTCAAAAAGAGTGTTGTGAGCAGAAATTTCTGCCGTGAGGCATTGTTAGCGGAATACTTTTTCACTTTTCCTGATAAATTTATTCATGTTCCAAAACATGGTTTAAGGCCCAAACGCAATGTGGGCGGAAGCGGATCGGAAACGAAAAGTTTGACAGTTGTCACTAATGACATCAAGATGCCTGACCGAAGTCGATTTGGATCTAACTAGTTTTCAATCCGACAAGTACGCTTACTCAGA